TGCCTGAATGACCCACTTCCTCCAACTAAGCCCCACCTCCTACGGTTTCCACCACCTCTCAATAATGAGAATTATGAATCCATCAATGGACTAATCCTCTGATTAGGTCACAGCTCTCATGATCCTATCACTTCCCAAAAGCCCCACCTCTGAACACTGAGGCCTTAGGGACCAAGCCTTCAACACACGAGCCTTTGAAGGATGTTCCAGATCCAAACTATAACAGCTGCTTTGCCTGATGTCCTGGGTCAGCAGTCTGTTCAGGGTTGCAGCCTCTCTCCCCTCATTGCCTAACAGGAGTGTCCTGCATTGCTATTGTTCAGCACTGCTGAGCCTGTGGAGGGTGTTCGTCAGGGGAAGGGCAAGCTGTACTCAGCAGAGAGTTTTCTGATCAAGGTTCAAGTTGAAAGTTCCCTCAGGGCTAGAACATGGGCACTGTGAAATACCCAATATCCTGCTCCCAGAGTTGCACTCCCCACCATGTTCCCTCATGCTGGCTACTGAATTTGTTGCTATTTATCCATTTCATTCCTGATCTTGCTTAGACCACACCATCTCATCTGATTCTCATCATAACTCTGTGGAACGTTAGCAGGGGGTTGGTGACCCATTTTATAGATTGGTGTGTGGATCTCTAGGGAAATAAGTGAGTTGTCCCGAATCACTCTCTAGTTAGAGTGAAAGAGGCTCCAGTGCAGCCCCTCTGCCCTTTATCCAGCCACCAGGGGTCACTGAGCAGAGGTGCTGAGCCTTTGCAGGATGGAGACCCCTGGGGGGTGACCAGGCAGGAACTGTCTGTACATCTTACAAGAACACTGCACGCGCCACCTCCTGCCTCACCCTTGTTGGAGCCAGAGAAACAGCCCTGCTCAATAGAGCTCTGGCAAATAGCACTTCTCTCTAATCGCACAGCCCTCTAATTTAGAGGGAGTTCCCCGGCCTGTTTTTCATCTTTTTTTTTGGTTTGACTGGCATCAGCTCTGTTGTGTCAGAGACAAAATACAGACCTGTTCCGACCCAACATGTGGGATAACTTTTCTTGTGAGTTAATCATGAGATGGGCTTTCTTGGTCAAAAAAGTCCTACCAGCCCTGCTGGCTCAATGAGAGAAATTCTGAGGGAAAAATCATCTATCATATGTCACTGTGATTTCGCAGTGTCTGTACGAGGTCTCATTGTTGAACTATGAATTAGAACTAAATTTAGTTTGGTGCAGTCTTACTGTTTTGAAAGAAAGTGGTAATGACAAAGAGAGTCCTTTTTAGCCTACTGAAAGCCCTGAGAATGGCGGCGTAAGTTCATATAAATAATGTTCAAGAAACTTCCATTTTACATGAAAGAGCCAAAGAATTAAATCCAAGAAAAAAAGAGAGGAAATGGAACTATTATTAGATTCTGCAGTGTGTGAACCGCAGTTGGGGAGACTATCCAAACTCAGAGGCAACAAATGAAAGGAAACCATCAAAAGAGATTTCAGCAAAAACAAAGAAAGATTGTATGTTTAACAAATCAGAATTCAAAGGGAATTGGAAGAAATATTTGCAACAAATATGTCAAGAGGATGCAAAAGGTGCACACAAATCTCTGAGAAAAACCCAAGATCCTAAATAAATATATCACAAATGTAGAAATCCAGATACCCTCACAATGTAGAAAATGTAGAAAAGCAGATGCATCACAAATGAAGAAACATGCCAGACAAACTTGGGAAGTGCTCATCCTCACAATGATCAGAGAAATCCAAGTAAAAAGGGATCACATTTTTTTTTCATTAAATGAGTCATTTTTTAAATTGATCAACTTGGCATCAAAAAGTGTGACATCATGGGTACCCTCATTCATTGAAGAGCTATGAAGGAGAACTGACTTGTCAGAAATCATTTTGAAAGTAGGTGTTAAATAGACTTTAAAATGGTCCTCCTCTGTGACATGGTAATTCCAGCTCTAGGAATCCAGCTTAAAAATGAAAACATAAGAATGGAAAACCATTATATACAACACACACACACACACACATACACATTATTTATAAAAATTGGAAAACAAAGTGGATGTTCAGATGTTAAAGGCTAAATTAAGTATGACTTATCTTTTCACTGAAATAGTATGAGAATTTAACAATATGAAATGTGTAGATTAAGAAAAAATAAGAATGCAAATGGTAACATGGTATGATTTTTAAACATATATAAAAAACAAGAAAGAATTGAAAACTTCTGTCTACACAAAATCTTGAACACAAATGTTTACAGCAACCTTTTCCATAATTGCCCAAACTAGGAAGCATCCAAGATATCTTTAACAGGTGGATAGATAAAATGTGGTACATTTGGTCAATAGAATGTTATTTATCACTAAAAAAGAAATGAATTACTGAGCCCTGAAAGGACAGAGGAACTTTAAATGTGCACTACCAAGTGGGAAAAAAAAAAGCCAATCTGAAAAGACTACATCCTGTATGATCCCAACTATATGGCACTCTGGAAGGCAAAATTCTGGGGATGGTAAAGGTAGAAAGGATCAGTAGTTACCAGGGGCTTGAGAGGAGGGAAGGATGAACAGGCAGGTCACAGAAAATCTTTAGGGCAGTGAAACTGCTCTGCATGACACAGTCATGGTGGATACTGTGATTATGCATTTGTCCAAACCCATATAATATACATCGGGAGGGAATTCTGATGTCAACTACAGACTTGGTATGATGATGGTGTGTCAGAGTGGCCTTACCAGTTGTAACATGTGCATCCCTGATGGGGGAGGATGATAATGGGGGATGCTGTGCATGTGTGGTGGGGAGGGAGTGTTTAGGAAATCTCTGTACCTTCTGCTCAGTTTGGCTCTAATATTTGAAGTCTATTAAAAAAAACAATTAAGAGTTGTGGAAATATTTACAAAGATTGTGTTTTGGTTATGATAAACTTATTTCCTTTCATCTCCATGCCTGTAATTACCATTTTAAAATGTGAACCTGCATTACTTTCTTTTGAAAAGAAAAAATAAACATTTCAAGAGTTTAAAAAGCTACAGAACTGAACTGTACATGTGTTTGTATATCTAAGCAATTCTGAGAGTTTCTAATCCCTTGTTTGCTCTTAGTGGTCAGAGTTTTGTAAACTCGCATTCCTTTTGGCTATTTGTGAATTTACACAACTGTCCCTGTACACTAAAGCTGTGACCAGTTAGTTTCTGTTCCCAATGAAAATAAGCTGTCCTTAGGAATCTCAGTGGGAACCATATTCTTGGAATTTTTCCCACAGTGTGTGATTCAGTCTTCATTTATTTTCAAATATCTAGGATTATTATTAGAATAACATATCTCTTATGAAGTGTAGGTATTTATGTGCATTTTATCCTAAACATATCCAGTAATAACCCTCACTGTCCTGTCTCCTATCTGTTTAGTTGTTCAGTATCCCCTTTCTTCTGGACCACTATTTTTAAATTCTTGACTATTTCTAGAGGTTTATGCATGCAAATACTAATATATATTTTTATTTCCCTTATTTTTATGTAAAAAGTAGAATACACTGTCCAAAACCTCACTTTTTCACTTCTTTATTCCTCTTTTTCATCACACAAAACTCCATGTGTGTATTCACCATAATCTATTCAAACCAGTCCCCAGCTGATTGACAATTGGGTTGTTTCTAATCAAACAGTTCTGTAATGTCTTATCTTACACATGAAACATTTCATACATGTGAAAAACATCCATACAATGAGTTCCTGGAAGTGTAATTGCCAGTTTGAAGAATCTAAGCCTGCAATTTTGATAGCTCGTGTTAAGTCATTCTCCACTGGGCAAGGTTTGCACTCATACCAGCCCTGCACTCTTATCCAAAGAGTGCTATGCCCAGATTCCATTGTTGCCATTCTGTTATGAGAAAAAAAGGAAGTATACATTTCAATTTGGATTGCTCTTTCAGGAGAGCGCATTAGCATGTTTGGGGTGAAAATTTCCTGTTCACCACCTTCTTTCATTTTGATGCTTGAGCAATTGGTTATATTCTTATGGACTTCTAAAAACTTTTTATGGATGGGGAGTTAGTCTGTCCTGGTAGTCCTACCTACTTAGCTAGAACATGTGCCTTAGGACAGGAGATTCTAAAAAGCATTTCCCTCTGGGTTGCTAGAGCCAATAGAAGACTTTGGAACAAGATTGATGGACATTCAAGAAATTTGTGGACTGCATTCCCACCTGGAGGGCCAAGAGTGGGTTTGACTGACAGGTTTGCTTCTTACTAACAGTGTCACTCAAGGCAGTCAGTAAGCATCTGAAAGCCTTGGCTGTCTTATCTGTAATAAGGCTGATCATCCCTATCACTTTGGATTATCAGAGATAACACATAGAAACTGATACTGTAGTGATTGCACAGGATCAGCTAATTGGAAACATACTTCTCAGAGTGAACTCACTTAGCATATAATGAAGATAAAATTCCAGCAGAAGAAATCCCAAGCATTCAAGGGGGACCTGAGAGATTTCTGGGTGCGGCTCCCTACCATTCTGTTGCCAGGGTGGTGCCTTGTTTTTGAATTAAGAACCACAAAGACATGGAATGGATGGGCAAAGAATCTTGGTTTTCGGAGAGCTCAAGCAAAAGGTTCTGGTGGCCTCTTTAACATTCTACTGGTATGTAGCCAAGTCAGACTGTGTAACCATTTAAGCCAGGTGTAAACCATCAGCTCGTATATCCCTAAATAATGTAGAAAAGCTGGCCTGGGGATCCTCCAGGGCATTTTGAACTTTAAACAACACATTATAAATCACAAACTAGCTCATCTCATCATCCTTATCTTATCCAAGGATCAGGACCAGACTTCTAGACATCCCTGGAGATAAGCATAGAGCCATCCTTGTCCAGCTGTAAGACGACTCCTCCTTACACAGCTGCAAAGGGAGCACTCAGAAACTACTGGAAACTAGCAGTTCTTTTTCCTTTCTGCTTTGCGACAACAAAGTCAAACTTTGGCTTCACCAGGGCCTTTTCCTTCTACAGCTCAGGGGAGACTGTCACCAGCGTGACCAGCTTGGCCCCCCTGCAGCCCAAGAAGGGCAAGAGGCGGAAGGAGAAGGCAGATGTTCCTCCTGCAGTTCCTGCCAAAGGTAGGAAGCTGGATGGCAATTCCCTGTGTGGAAACCACCATGATCAATCCAGAGATTGGCCTGGGAGTCAATGTAAAATCAGGACAGGGGAAATAGGCTGATGGAGGACATGAGATTCACTGGTATTGGGGCCTAGACATCCCCATCTAGGGTTTGATTACAACTGGTGCTTGACCATCTCCATCCTTTGGAGTGGTTCAGCATAGTTTCAGCATGGAAAGGTCAACATCCACAGGGAAGGTTAACATCCACAGAGGAACCCATGTTGTATTTCACTTTGAATCTTTAAAATGCTCTACAAAAAATGGTGGTGTGGGGCAAGGGGTGGGGTCAGCATTTCCTTAGTTCATCTAAAGGAAAGAAGTCTCTCTGACTTCTTAAATATGTCCTCCAGATATGCAGTGTATTTCAAATTTGTTCTGGGTATAAAATGATGATTATTCTGTGATCTCAGTTTTGATTTAGAGCAACCTGAGTAAGGAAAAAAACTGCGTAAGTCTTAGGAGAACCCAGACTTTCATAGATAGTTCTTAAAATAACAGTTTGATTTGGATGTTTATAGCTCAACACATTGGAAGTATAGTTGGGAATACAAGGATTTCCCAGGTAAACAATTTAATAACAAGACCAGATACATTTTATTCCTCCATTGGTGCTCCACTGGTGGTCTCCTGGGGCCCGTCAGCCCTGAGGTGAACCAATGGTGGTAAAGCTGGAAGGATGGAAGGATGTTTGTGTTAGGGAGGCATGAGAAGCACACATCTGGGGAAGGAAGGGAGCAGAGAACACCTGCTCTGGGCCAGGGGTCATCCTTCTGTATTGTCTCATTTATTCCAGGATAGATATTACTCTACCTTACGAAAGATAAAAATGAAACCTAGCTAAGTAGACCTGGGCTTTCAATGCCAATTTCAAGTCCCAAATCTAGTTAGGTGATATTAGAAGATGGTCTTTGTTTTCCCTCTCTGTTAAACAGGGAGAGTAAGACCCTTACTAATGACCGCATAGAGCTATATGAGGATCAGTCATTGCTTCCAGGGTCAGGGACCAGATAGGACAGAGTCTTCTGGGAAAGGTATCAGCCCCAGCCTTTACCAAATGCACCTAGTTCTCACCTGCACATCTGACCTCTACAAAGAGGCAGTGATTTATTCAGAGCTATTTTATTGACCTGACCAAGGAGGGGCACTGATATATCCAAAGAAAGGGGAGGATGGCTCCTCAAAGAGGAGCAACCGATGATACATAGTTCAGAAATTGGAACTCTTCCATGGGGCCAGGAAGGGGTCTGAAAGTCTGCACTGAGTGTGTCTGTGATGCTTATGGGTGGGCATTAAGAGTTCTGGGGGAGTTGCAAGCTAAAAATCCTTGACTTCCCACAGCTCCAATAGCTGCCACATTCCACAAACCAAAGCTGCTGAAACCACAGAGGAAAGTCACACTGGTGAGTAACGTTTTTTTGTGTTGTCATTGTCCCTCAAGTCTTAAACATAGGTCAGAGACTTAACACTACCTTTATTGACTCTCAATGTGCTAAAAATTCTTGGTAATTAACTGGTCTCCCAACAAATGCATTGTCTTTCTAAGGTCAGTTTTTGAGTCAGCTTTTCTACATGTTCAGTTCCTGGAGTGAGTTTTTAAAACCCAAATGGAATTATCTTTCATTATCAAAAAAAAAAAAAAAAGAGAGAGAGAGAGAAAAAAAAAAGCTGTACTTAAAAATGTATAGCATAGAAAGTGGACCTGCTTGCATCAATTTTCCTGATAGCTCAGTCTGAAGAGACTGTTGAAGAATCTTCCAGAAAATATGTTAAATCTTTTTTTTTTAAATTTTGAAATGACTTGAAATTTGCAGAAAAGTTGTAAAGATAGTACAGAGAGTTCTCCTATACCCTTCCTCCACCTTCTCTTAAAGCTACCATCTTACATAGCCATGGTGTATTTATCCAAAGAAAGACATTAACGTTAGTGAGTCAGTGTTACCAGATTTCAGCAGGTTTCCCATGGATGTTCTTTTTCTGTCCAGGAATCTAATCCAGGATCTCACATTCCATTCAGTTGTCACACTCCTTACTTTCCTTTGATCTGTGGAAGCGCCTCTGTCTTTTTCTTTCATGGTACTGGCACATTTGTAGTGGAGTAACAAGTTACTTTTTTAGACTATCCCTTAATTTGTATTTCTTTGAGGTTTTCTGATGATTAGATATGAGGTTGCAGATTTGGGAGAAAAACACAGAGAATTTCTCTTCTCATTGAATCATATCAGGGCACATGATGTCCATACAGTAGCACACCCCCTTATCCAGAGAGGGATACATTCCAAGCCCCCCCAATGGATGCTTCAAACTACAGATGGTACTGAAACCTACATATGCTCTGCTTTTCCCCCACGCATACATACTCACAATAAAGCTTAATTTATAAATGAAGTTCAGCAAGATATTAACAACAATACTAGGTAATAAAATAGAATGATAACCATATACTGTAATGAGAATTATATAAGCTTAGTTATTTGAACCTGATGGATGGTTTTATTTCTGGAATTTTCCTTTTAATATTTTCAGACTGTATTTGACTATGGGTAACAACAAGGGTGAAAAACAAAACTGAAGATAAGTGGGGGAACTGCCGTATGTCTTACGACTGGTGATGCCCATCTCAGTCAATGGTCAAGGTCATGTCTGTCAGGTTACATCACTGTAAGGTTTCTATTTTCCCTTCCCAAAGTCTGTATGTTAAAAGTTAGTCCAATAGTCAAGTTTGGACCAGGAGAGCAAGATGGACTAGGAGAGTTGAACTCCACCTCTCAAAGGGAAGAATGTCAAGAATTTTGTGCACATGATAAAAACACCACAATAATTAATGATTATTTAGGGGAGATATATTATGGTTATGCAGATATTCTATTTTTTCCTTAAACTTTCCCCACTAATTTTGCATTCATCAGTGCTTTTTGCCTGCAGCAGTTTTCACTAATGGTGATACTAATGGTGACTTTCTAGTTCCTTCAATTCTTCTATCTTTATTATTTGAAATTCTTTGGTAAGAAACTGCCATTTTCATTCATTTTTTTTATTCACTAATTCGTTAGTATCAGTATGAATTCATAGTATTTAATATTTTTAGTTTTTAATCATATTATTTGTTTTGTGGTTAATGTTGTTTAGCAGTTGTGTATGTGCATGAGAGAGAGACAGAGAGACACTGTTGAAACTATGTCCTAATGTGCATGTATTGCAAAAGACAGTTTATTGAAGTTCTGTTGACATATCTTAATGAGATACAGACGTGTGTGTTATATGAGAGTGCTTTTTGCATGCCATCACACTTAATTCTCACAATAAGATTCCTCCCTCACCCTCTAGGTTTGCATTTGAGGACACACAAGTACTCAATTTAAGAAAAGTGATGGAGTTTCTATAGTCAACCCATAGGAGTTAGTTTCATGCATCTTGAATTAAACAACTTTCTCTAGTTGGGCCCCCTCTCTCCTTTAACCATTAAATATAAACAAAAATTAGTTGTGCAATTCTTGGGTACAAAATAATGTCTTAAGCATTTTTTCCCTACTTATCAAAAGATTGTCTTCAATAGCATTTCCAAAAATGGCTGTGGCCCTGATTACAAGTGTTCATTGTTGACTTTGTTGTCTGTATGTTTTTTTGAGCTGGCGTGCTTCTCTGGATAAGGACTTAGCATAGGAAATTCTTAATTTTCATAGAAAGTAAATTAAGGCAGTTATATGCACTTAAAAAGGGCTGTTTGTTTTATGGTAGTATTACCAATAACAATTCTTTAAATACTAAATTATCCGTGTTCATTGAAGATACAAAGAGTTCAAAAATTTTAATATCAATTCTTCCAGAAACAAGTCAACTTAGATACCAATTTGTACTGATAACAACTCACAATAAAGAGATGACCTCAACTAGACCTCTGTCTGACCAGCAGTTTAGAGTCGAAAATGCCAGGCCCCAGCGTCTGCAGGTTTTGGTGAATATTAAGATGTATTTTCCCAAGAGACCAGCATTGACCTCAGTCTCAATTTGGTCGATATTTATCTCTCAGATCAATAAGTCTTGATGGTAGTTGAAACTAAAGTCAATAGCTACTTGTTGATTCACATAGGCCTTAGTGGGTAATTTAGAAAATAACTTGGAGACATTATTTTTGGCGGGGGTGGTGGGTAGAGAAAGTGGCTAGTGCCAGTTTAGGTGTGTAATTCCACTCTTGCTCCATTTTGCCACAATCTCTGTAAAACAGTGCTTCCTGGTTGGTTCCTAAGCGACAGTTTCCCAGCCCTTCTTACTAGAAGCCAACCTGCCCTACTCGTGAACAAGGAGGGACAAGGCTGGTGTAGAGAACTTCTATTTATTGAGCCCTACTGTGTACCAGCTCCTCTGCTAGATGCTTTATGTCTCCATCTCACTTATCTCAACCACAGTGCCAACAATATGACAAGTGCGTGTCTTTGTGTTTGCAACACCCAATTCATGAACAAGCAGGAATTTTTCTTATGTTTTTGACACAATATGGCAATTTGCAAGAAGTACATATTATCAGAAATTAAAAACAGTTGGAAAGATTTTTTTAAAAAAATGATAGAACACAAGCAAAAAAAAATGGGGGAGGCATTTTAGACATTTTATAATCAAGGTATCAAAACTACCTCCCTTCTTTTAGCAGAGAAATCAAATGCAACAATCTACTTTCCAAACTCTCTTAATCAGGTAACGAGGCCCACTGGATCACACAGGTTCTTCTGAGTGTCTGGCAATGCATCCAGTTTGTCTAATTAGTTTACATGCTTGCAGTGTGTCTTTATTCTGATATACCAGTGGGCCTTCATCTTTTGGGGAGTGAGGGATAACTTTCACAAAATTAAAATAGTGCTCTGGGGATGTAGCTCAGCACTAGAGCACTAGTCTATCATGTGCAAGGCCCAGAGTTCAATCCCCAGCACTACGAAACAAAACAAAACCCCTCAAACTAGCCTGGAGCCAGACGCACTGGTGATTTTCCTTTAAGTTTGGGCACTGACTCAAAGGCCCCCTGAAGACCTCTTGGGCTCTCCAGTATCCTCACGGCAGTTAAGCACCCCTAGCATTGCCAGGGAGCCCCTGGAACTAATTCACACACTTCCAGGAAAAGCTATCATTACTTCCTTGTTTCAGAAGAAACAGAGAGCCAGAAGCACTTCTGCTTTATTTTTATTGAATTAGGCCAGTTATTGATTTAGAGGCCAAGTGGAGGTAAAAAATAAACACAGGGAGTGCATGTGATATGGAAGCAAAACCTCAGTGTTTAAAGGAAAACACAACAGGAAACTCCACTGTTACCAGAATTGGAGAGGAGGACTGGTAGTTAGTTAGCAGCATCCCCCAAAATGAACGGAAGAAGAAGTGAGCACCATTCGCAGAGTTAAATGAACTTTAACACACTCCTGCCTGCCTCAGTCAGCCTCAGCCAGCCTCAGCACCCTCCTCAATAAAGCACGGGTGAGTCCTCCCTCTCTATAATTAAGTCACTGGTATCTAGCAGAAGGAGAGCTGGAAGGGTCAGGCCACCCCTGTCCTCTAAGGAGAAAGTGATTTCTTGCGAGTAGAGACTGAAGACAGGAAAATCAGGAACATCGCAGGCTTAATTACCATGAGTCTCCCAGTGGGTCCCTTGCAGCCTGTCTCAGTCCCTCTGATCCATCCTCTGCATTGCCGCCCAGGGACTTTCCTAAAACACACTCCAACCATGTCATTTCCCTGCTTAAAATATTCAAACGGCTCCCCCTTGCCTCCAGGATGAAGCACGGCTTCCTGTGAGTGGCAGGCAGTGTCATCTTCCCGTTTCTGCTCCCTTGGTCCCACCAAGACGCCACGTGGTCCAGGCCTTTCCTCTGCTCTCTGCTCTGCACCTGTGGCCCTCCTCATCCTCCCACCGAACTGCTGCTCAGCCCCAAGGCTTGGCTCACTCACCACCTTCTTTTGGAGTCCTCCTTACCCCTAACCCATTTCTCTACAAATCTAGGTCCACCCATGCATCAAGTTCTGGCTCTTCGTGTGAGCAACCTGTCCATCCACCTCTCTTGAGGCACATGCAGTCCATCTCTTCTGTCTGATCCCTTTGGCATTGATGTTTCCAAACATGCCCTCCCTCCCTTCCTCCCTTCCTTCCTTCCTTCCTTCCTTCCTTCCTTCCTTCCTTCCTTCCTTCCTTCCTTCCTTCCTTCCTTCCTTCCTTTTCTTTCTCTTTGGTACCTGGGATTGAACTCACAAGCAGTTGACCTCTGAGCCATATTCCCAGCCCTATTTTTTGTATTTTATTTAGAGACAGGGTCTCACTGAGTTGCTTAGCACCTCACCATTGCTAAGGCTGGCTTTGAACTCATGATCCTTCTGTCTCAGCCCCTGGGATTACAAGCGTGAGCTATGGTGGCCTGCCTAAATA